ATATCGAAAATCAAATAAAATATTCACTCGGTATAAAAAAATTATCCTAAGTACGTTGAATATTCTATCAACCTATTTGCAATTATTCTATGCCCATAAAATATTTTTCTCATACCTTTAATATATTTTTGATTTATTTAGTAATGGTTTTGGGGTATTACATTTTATTTAGGGTTAATATACAAATATGTTCTTATATAATACTCAAACTCTTTCATATATCTTTAAGTTTTTAATTTCATTTCATTTGTTCATAAAAGTGTTCGAAATATTTAATCTGTTATTTTGATCAATTTTTTGAAAAAATAAAAATTTTTAACCAAAATGCCCTTGATTGAAATAATAATAAAAAAACCCCTTCAAAAATAGAACATATAAATCATGTGACTTTAAGTATGTTTTTTTAAATTTTGTTACATTGTAGTAAATGACATTTTGGTTAAAAAAATTATAGTCGAAAAATTTAATCGGAAAGACGGATTAAATATTTTAAAATTTTTTAAAAATTGATGGAATGCAATATTGAGAACTTAGAGACATAAAAAATCTAGAGTGTTATATAAAGACAAATGATATATTTATCCTTTTATTTCTAAGAGGACAACGTGTTATTTTTTTAAGAAAGTAAAAGAGAAAGAAATGGAAAAAAAATGATGTTGCAAAATTCAATGCAAAACTAATAGTTAGATATTTTCGGTGACATACAATGTTAAGAGAATTGGATTGGCTTAATGATTGAGATTTTACTTTGGTCATTTTAGAAGATTATAGGTTCGAACATTTCAATCTTGACAGGCAGGGCAGTTTGGTAATTTTGTGAAAGGTAGTTTGGGTTGTTCTTATAATTTGTTAGGGTGAAATTCATATCCTATTCTTATTCTCTCTAGTATTATTATTTTTAACTTCTGTATTTAAATATAATATAAAACAAATCATATATTATTAAATGTTAGAATAAATTAATCATTTCATTCAATGACTGACTAATCATATAATAATACATAATTAACACTAATTATATGATGACATCATGAAATTATTAATTTATTCTAACGTTCAAAAGTATATGATTTATTTTATATTATATCTGGACAAAAAGTTAAAATAAATAATAATAGATAATAGATAATAAAATGACACGATGTGAATTTTGCCATGATTTGTTGTGGTAATAAACAAAAACCAACTTTCGACTCCTCAATTTATTTATTAATGTTCAACATTTTGTTTCTTAAAATACTTTACTTTTAAAAGAAAAATACTTTTTTTGTTTAGCATTTTTGTTTTTTAAAATACTTTCTTTTAAAAGGAAACTGCCAAAGTGTGTCCTAGCACTTATAAAAGAAAATTAATGATATTTTTATTCATAAAAACAAAAAACACTTAAAATACTTTTACTTTCAAAAGGATACGCTTGTTTTTGTAAAATTTTCTTCCCATGATTATCTATATTTCACATTGTTTTTTTTTTCCTTTCAACCGAGTAAAACGTATTTAATTAGACAGGTTTATTAGTCTCGATCTTTTTTATTGGACAAGTGGTGCCCTTGTGGTCCTCTGTTCCATATGGTATCTTATATTTTGAGCAAAGTATACAAAATAGCTTGGTATAGAAAATTTTGGACATGTTGAAACGGCAAGCTGGTAAGCATCTTGTTAACCAAAAACAAGTGACAGAGAGATTACATTTTGATCCTCAGCAGGCACAGGCAGGCAGATCCAAAGCTAATACTTTTTAGAAACTTGCTTGCTATATAATTAATCAGCTCCTTTTTATTTTCCATCTCCTCAATTTTCAAATATTTTCTGATTTGAAACAGGGCATTTAACATTTTATACCAGTGGTCATGGTTTCTGGTCTGTCCCGTGAATGTGAAGAGTCAGTCAGTTGAAAAAAAAAAAAAAATGAATGTGGAGTGCACAAAGAACTTACCCTTGAAGCGCACTTGCAGAGAAAACACTGGTCTATAAATGTGTGTATTGGATGAATCAGACTGAAACAAAAACAAATTCAGAATCAATAATCTTTGAAAAAATGGCGCGGATCAGCAACACACAACAAGCAGCATCAATTAAGGCAGGTGGCTGTGAATTGTGATGTCTCCAAGCCAATTTGCATTGGACAAGTAAATTCCGTTTCATGTAACCAAAAGGAAGAAAAAAGAAAAAAAAAGAAAGAAATTCCACCTCCATGTAACTCTACAGAAATCTCCCATACAACATTAATAATTCCTCTTCATTCCCTCTCTTTCAAACACGTACGCTCTTCTTTATATTCTAGATCCCGCAATCTTCACTTTTTTGATAGTACTATAGCAAATCCTGACGCCATGAGGGTTTCAACTCTAAGTTTGATTCTTGCCTCATTAACTTTTCTAATTGTTGTTAAATCTCAGGTTGATCGAAAGGATTTCATTCAACTGACGAGTGAAGCTCTTGAATGGCCATCGACAATGTCCGTCTACGATGAGTTGGGTGACAACGAAGACGAAGAATAAGGTGGGTCTGATAGAAGGTCTTTATGGGAGAGCAAAGCACTATTACATATCCTATGTTGCTCTGTCTCCAAACAGGGTACCTTGCCCAGGAGGCCTTACTATACCCATAACTGTTTCAAATCTAGAGGACAGGCTAACCCTTACACCAGGGGTTGCTCTTGTATCGCTCATTGCAGGAGATAGATTTTGCTTTCTCTTTCGTTCATTTTTTTTTCTTTCCAAATGTGGGATGAAATTATTTGATTTATCCATCCTAGAAAGGAAGGCATTTTGGTGCTTGTAACTTTGGCTGTTTTGTTGGGCTTGTGTTGATAAAACACAGATCTTATTGGATATGTGCATGCTACCTGTGACCAAGCTAGTTTTTCTTTTCGGACTAATATATTGTTTTAATGCAATTCTTCTAATCGCAACACAATTACTTCACCTGCTCGCAATGAATTTCCATCTTAGCCAGAGAAAGGGATAGTATTCTTTTTTTAATCGGAAAAGGATAGCCTACTTTTTCAACCATCGGGTGTCTGATTTGTTTTATAAAAGTCTAAAGATAACAACTGGTTGGAACTAGACACATGATTCATTCAGCTGCTTCTATCCTAATTTTATGGGTCTTAGTGGCATCAACCATGCTCTTAATTGGGCAGAAAAAGGTGAAATTTTATGTTGACAAACAAATAATTAAGATCTATTGTTTCATTTATTAAAAAAAAAAAATCTTGATTTGCTGTTTTTGTTTCTTAAAATCAAACTAGTTTATCTGCAAGAAAATAGGAAATGGAATCTATGTTGCCTATAATTAATAATGAGTATCTTGTTTTCCCTTTGGGCGTTTGGCAAATGGACAGTCTAAACCAATCTTCCACCAAACGGCAGTAAAAATAGCCCTTTCTTCAATTTCTAGGATAGCAAGGAGCAAGCCGTATTCAGTGACTGAATCTGAGATTGTACGGTGCGCCATCAGTCAAGTCTTCTAAAATAACAAGGTATCTTCCTGATTTGTAACGATAATGGCAATGTTTTTTGTTTGTTTTTCATCGTCTTCCGTTTTAAATTCACCGACATCAGAACGTGGAAAACAAATCATTATGGTTAGGCATGTGGTGGGTGTATCACGAAACTCTAGAAAAGTCTTATACAATATTTTTCACGGGTAAAAATCATGCAATGAATTAAAAAAATAAATAAATAAATAAATATATATATATATATATATATATATATATTGGAACCAGAAAAAAAAAATCAAAGCAGATGTACAAGTAATTGGAGATGACAAAATTGATCATTATTCGTTCTCCTCACTAATATTTGACACCTAATTTATTTTTATTTATTGACTACGTCCTTGCTGGTTAGCATGTGCGCAGGTTAAGTTGGCTTCGGAGAGAGACAACAAGGCAAGGAATCGATGCGACCCTTTAGATGCTTTGATTACCATTCAAGTAATCATTTTCATATTATTGTCTCAATGGAACAGGAACAGTCCATGCTAACGAGAAGTAGAATACAGGAAACGAATGAGTTGTCCACGGAATATTTTATGTAATACTCAGAATTACCCTGATAAGGATTCAACGAATCTACAATCAATACTGTGGATGAACCAGTGACTTGTAGATGAAATTCTAGAGAGTAGAATCGCCTTAAATATGTACCGGACACATTTAGGGATCAACTGTGTAAAAATAGGTGAAGTTGTGTAGAGGCTAAAGAATAAAAAAACTAGAGTCAGGTTCTGTCATAGTTTGCCATGGTTCGGACTGACCAATCCCTCAAATTTTACCAATGGGCTTGTAGAGTTGTAGTTCCCTGAGATGAGGCCTAAGTGCCTAACGCCACCTTTACCATCCATGACTAATAATCTTAACATGATATCATCTGACAAATAAGCTGATGGATGCTAGATAATTTAATTAGTTAAATCACTTAATGCGTTACCAATTATCAAAAGATCAGATATCGAATCCCAATCCCACTGAAATGAAGGAAATTTAAAACAGACGTAGGCTGCAAAGTTTAATAGGCCTCTCTTGATGAATAAAAAGAGAAGAAAAATACCTATAATAGTGGAACTCTAAATGACCAAAACGCAGAAAATCAACAGCTAGTAGACAAGATTACAACGTGGCGTAACCTGTAAACTTCATCAAAAAATGAATTTCACGAATTGTAGAACTAAAACATGAATTACTTCTTACTTTTACATCAATTTCTTGGTTATATATATGAGGACTAAAAAAGGGAAAAAAAAAGAAAGGAAAAGGAAAAAACAAATGGAAAGTCACCACTCAGTTACAAGGCACCACCGAATCCAACGTGCTCTTTTCCCACGCTGGGCAGCAGGGCAGACCAAAAAGTCCAAAACCGCGTTCCCAGCTCCTTGCCCACTTTGCCCGCTGAGCTGTTTTCATTTCCACTTTCTCCTCCTCAAAACAAAAGGAAACCAATAATAAATTAAAAAGAAATATGTGAAATTCCTCTTCATGTGATGACCGATCGTCATCAATCATATGTGCAAGCCTTCTTGAGCGAAATTGGGACATTGAGCTTCTTTGGATCAAAATTAAAATCACACTCAATTTTCTTGTTGAATTTTGGTTTAACCAACTTTCCCAAAACATAAGCTCTTGATTTAACAACAAAGTTCATTTTCAGAGACACTGGTAATGTACTTGTCCCTGTAGAACCGCTCAGCCCAGCTCCACTTCCGTACAATGGTATTTTATTGCTGATAACAGATATTGCCACCGACCTCTGGCTCTTCCTTGATTGGTAAAACTTCTTGATCTGCAATACCCAAATCACCGAATTGGAGAAAATTCACAGATATCTTCATTTCTTTTTAACTAAAATAGAAGAAAAAAGATCTCAATTGGCTTACACTTCCGGATGCTAAAGTGATTTCAGAGTACGATAGATCGAGAGGTGTTGAGGTCACATGGACCCCAAAAAACGTTCCTGTGTTACGATAGGCCATTTTCACTGTAGAGTTCACTGAGATCATATCAGTTGCCACTCCTGTTGAGTCAGACCCAGCTTGGATTATAAATTGCTCAAATGTAATGCTCTGCAAGAAAATATGAACCAATTAAATTCAACCAATTTCCCCAATTGTAATAATTTTCGTGAAAATAAATAAAAGATAGATAGATAGAATATACAAAATACCTTCATTGTGATCTTGGGTTTTTGTGACTTACTAGCACCCCAAAGAATTAAAGAAAAGAAAGAGAATAAGATAAAGAAACCAAGAACAAAAGCAAGGAAATAGCATCTACGAGGGAGACCCTTTCGACGCTCTTCATCTTCAAGAAGTCCTTCTTCTTCAATAACATCACACTCTTTCCATTGCTTGTGCCCCTTCCTTTGACCCCCTCTAGAAGCATCATTTGGTGAGATCTTGCGCGATCCAGGTTTCAACGAGCCGGAAAACCGGCTTGAAGAGGATTCACGCGAGTGGCGGCCAACAGAGGAGTGAGAGTGAGGAGGGGATCCCACGGGGCTGAGTACAGGTGTGGAATGAAACGACGTCGTAGTTTTCTCTCCATCGTGAGAGTCACGCGATGGGCTCTGTACGTAGTAGACTGGACGGCGCGGAGATCTGGTGGGAGATGATGGTGCTAGACTAGTGACCTCTGAGTCTGTCTTGGCGTGCATTTTTTGTGGAGTATCCTCACAGAATGCAAACACACTCTTAGGTCTTAATCGGATTTTGTTTTGATTGAGCACTGAGTTATATAGAATAGGAGAATTTGATGTGTTTTATTTTTACTGCTGGAAATGATGGTGACCTTGTGGAAATTGGATTTGTCAACTCCTGCACAATTAAGAAATGGGTTTAATAGTGTAGACTGTGGAGACAGAGGGACTAAGGATTAAGGCGTGGAATGTTTATACCACGAAGAAAGAAGAGCTTGAGGTCAAATCTGCCAGGATCAATATGTGATGAGTATTTTGTTAAGGTTGGGTAGAGGAAGGAGCGAGGAAGTAATTACCCGACAGCCCAGTTACAGTTGGCACCGCACAACGAATCTATTATTGAGTTCCTGTACCTGAAGCTGTAAAGGGTAAAGCAGACAGTATCATGGAGAAATTTTATAATAGTTAAAAAATAATTACTGATATATATAATAATTATTTTATAAATTTATCGTAAAAAGAAAAAAATAAACATATAAAAAAAGATAGAATTATATTTAAATTTATCAAAAATAATAAGAATATTTTTCAATTGCGTTTAATTTTTTTAAATTTTTTTTCTCTTTTATTTATTTATTTTTTTTAAAAAATAATTTTAAAAAATAATTATTATATATATCATTAATTATTTTTTTTAGTATTATAAATTTTTTCAATATTTGGCGGAGAGGACTAAGGGTATAAAGCGGCCTTAAACCTGTTGCGGTGACTTTTTAGGAACGAAATAAGCAATGGTTGTATGGTCCAAGCTTTCCAGCAGAATGTGGCTCAGCCCACCATATTCATGGGCAGGTCTTTCTTTTCCATTTATAAGCACGAAAAAGGAAAAGATTAAAATATGAAGTCATAACATAGATGATAGCTGTTAGGATGAAGAAAAATCGCGGTATATGAACAATTTGGGTCACTGACCCATATCGATCTTGTCAGTAAAAATGCAAATTTCTCCTCATCTTCAATTTTTTTTTCAGAAAAAAAAAATTCCCTAAGTAACTGAAGGTTGAGGTTCAATAATGTCTTTATGCTTATATATATATATATATATAGAAAAAAACTTCAAAGATACAGAGACCATTAGATCAATAGGATTATAGGAACCATTATTTAGCTCCACGTTAGGATTACGTTTTTAATGTCGTATAGTCTTTTTGGAGTTTTCTCTACTATGTTTCTTGAGTAAATTATAAATTAGTCCCTTTAGTTTCCTAAAAACGAATTAATTAGTTTTTTATTTTAAAAACTAATTATTTTATCTTTATATTTTAAATTTTTTTATAAATTATTTTTTTCAATCTATTTATTTTTCGTTTTAAAAATTAAAAAAATAAGTAAAACATATAAAAATTATTGAAAAAGATAACATTTTTAAAACAAAATAATATTAAATTAATATGATCAATATTGATCAAAGTGATTGAATAATTAATGTTTTAAATAGAAAAAATTAATTAATTCGTTTAAAAAATAAACGAACTAATTTATAATTGTTATTTGACTTTTGCCTTTTCTTTTAGTTGCCTCTTAGACAAATTAAACAAGTTCTTATTTTCTTTTTATAAGGGAAGAGTTATCCATGGGCTCAAAGCTTTGCCTGTAGGATAATGCACCCCGTAGTTCTGTGGGTTTAACTTGGTCGTCTCTGCAGACTATAACTTACCGGTATTTTGAATTGCTGGAAATGAACAAAAGACGAGGGGCGTCAACTGACGAATTGCACAACGAGTAAACTACAAAGCAAACGGTACAAGGGCTAAGGCCATAAGCTCGTGAGTGTGGGCTCCATAACAGACATGTGCTCCCACGTTGAAGGAGGCTGGTTCACATTATTATTATTATTAACAATAAATATGTTTTCGAATAAGATTCTGTATATTTCAAAACTATTTTTTAAAAAAAATTAATTAATAGATATTCTCTATTATACGATTTTGGATATGTCAAAAATAAATTCTTAAGAATATTAGCTATAAAATCGAATCTTAAACTTAATTTACAAGTCATTTCATGCTTATAAATAGATTATCATTTTTTCTTTAATTGGCTAACATTATTTGAACTAACATTTTTATATTTCTTACGTTTCATCGTTTTATTGTTTATAGTTTGTAAACTCATTATTTTTCTTTTTTACCTTTTTTTTTAAAATTTCAGTACTTCACATTGTCTTAATAACCCAGAATATAGCATGTTCACCAAAAATAAAAGAAAACGTAAGGATATACGAAAAGAAAACTAATCACTTCACTTGTGCACATTGAACAAGTCGAGGTTGAATAGTTAACAGTTCAGTGGCAGATCATTTGTTTGGTTATTTCTTTTATTTAATTTTGAGATTAGATAAGACCAGCAAAAAAAGAAAAAATTTATTTCCTTTCAACTGCTCCCTTTAAATTAATATAAGAGTTGAAAATGATTTTTTTCCCCTTATGCTACTGAATAAGAAAATGACTTTTATGCCCTGGATCCTTGCTTTTGAAGTTTGAACACCAATAGTTATCGGGATTTGTGTGGGTCCGCCCAAGCAACTCTTGCTTGAAACCATTGACACCACCACAACCCCCCAACCCCCACACCCGCACCACCCACCACCCCCCCCCCCCCCCCCGCGGCGGCTACCAGACTATTGGGCCCTAAAACTCAATTATAATAGGCTTTAGGCAATTTCCCACGTTTTAGAAGTGAGTTTAGTAATTTTATTTTTCAATCCTTGATCTATACATGCAATTCCATTTTGAAAAACTCTAAAATAGTCCATCTGTTTGTATCATCTACTAAAAAAAGCACTTTGATTTTTATTTTTCGCCACGAAAGGGGTTGAAGTTCAAAATATACAACAAAATTTGGTCCTACTTTCCCATTTTCTTCTGCATGTTTTGGGAATGACAGACATTTTTTCACGCGGGGCAGTGGGAAGTAAAATAGTCAACAAATTTATAAAGTTAATCATTCACGTAATTTATACTTGTATAAATATTGTGTGTATTTAGTAATTAAATAAATTTTTCGGAGGCTCTCACTTTGCGCGGATGAAAAACAATTATATGAATTTGGGGGATCGAGTTGATGGTTTCTGAGTACAAGTGGTTGTGGCTGGTGAACTTTTTGGCAAGGATGATTTCTCCATGTGCATGGATAATATATGAAGTTGAGGATTGGAGTGGGCGGGGAAATTGGGTTGAACGAATTTTGTGTCGTTTGGCAGGTAAATGTTTCGTGGAATGGATGTGGCCGAGAGACTTTTTTAAAGCCTCAAGTTCATGAGGAGTGAGACAAGCACTGGAATAATTGATAACGGGAGTACAACTATCAAGGAGTTTAGAAGAGCGTGTTAAGGTGGCAGTTATTTTCCAGTTTTTGAAATATGGGTATGAAAATATATATACATACACGAGTATAAATTGCGTGAATTATTACGTAGCTTTATAAATTTGTTGATTATTTTGATTTCATTCTTGTTAATCATTGAATTTAATCATCTATCTGCGTTGATATCATGTTAATTTTCTGTTTTATCACCTTCTACTTTGCACAATACTCACTGCTTTTTATTTGTTTTTGTCCTTTTTCTGAATTTTATCACTTTATAATTTATGCAGGTTGGATGTAGAGTCTTTTGCATTGAAATATGCAATGAAAGGAGGGTAGTTAAGCTCGGCAGCTAGGCGGGAACAGTCAATGGACGATGACCTCCAATAGTCTGGATTTGCTTTTTGGTGAAGTTTAGCACGCGAAGTAGACTCACATAACGTCTAGCCACCTTTAGTTAATCGGCAAAACAAATATCTTTGACAAGCCTTCAAGTACTGTGATCCATTGTATCATAGTCGATCGAATAGCTTTTGGACTCCAATTCGGGTGTGCATTCCTCAATAGCATTGTCACCCCTGCTGCATATGCGTGCAGGCCATGCATGCATGCTTGTTTCGGAAAAATGATTGAAATCCTTGAAAATGAGATGTGAATTGTCATATTCACTTCTTTCAGCCCATACTACTAAAATGAACGAAGTAGGGCAGAGATGATAATGATCATCATTAGTTATGGTTTAAAGTATGCAGAGGGGTTATTAGAACTCATTAGCCAATTGATCGATACGTCAATCAAGATGCTAAGAACTAATGTTGTAACTTGTAAAAATAACGGTCAAACAACAAAGTAAAAAGAATGTAAATAATAAGAAACGTCGAGTAGAAGTAGTCAATGCTAGTAACGTGCAAGTCGTGTAACTAACAAGTGGGTAGTTAAGGTCCAAACAGGTGAAGCTTTAGGTGTTGTTTAGTGTGTGAATAATAGAGTTTTAAGATGGAGAGTTTAGATGTTTATTTTGCTAAAAATTAAAAATTCTGAAATCAAGATTTGATCCCCTCATAATTATGTAAAGTTGGTATTTATAGTGAAAGACGATGGTTTTTTATAGCTAAAATCATATTACGTCATTCAAGTTTGGATGGTTAGATTTAACTTATAAAATTTAGGTTCTTTAAACTAAACTGATTCAACTTGTTACCAAATGCTAAAGGAAGTAATTAATAAGTAGGTCTTCTCTTAACGGATCCTACTCGAACTCACTAAGCCAATCACCCTAGCTAATGCATATCAAAACAAGACATGAACACTAGTCATATCGAATATCCGTAACCATCTTTGTGACTCAAGATCTTGAGTCGAGCTAGATCCATTCTTAGTTTAATCAATTTGTCATGCAATTTGGATTTGCGTCAAAATCAAAAGAAAAATAACATAGAATAATATAGAATAAAAATTAGTTAATTTTACAAAAGATCGAGCATATACAAAGTATAACTATAACCACAATCAAAATAATAATCAATAACATAATCATCAATTATTGATTATCCATTCGTTTAATTGTTAACCATCTTTATTTAAAAAAAAAAAGAACTAGTTAATGCATGTCAAAATTGATTAAAGGAAGTAATAATTAGATCTTCTCTTAA